CTCCCATAAGGCAGTGTGTTTCATGGTATCAACTAGGTAAACGTCTGCACGACTCAAAGAAGCTTCACCCAGGTGATAGCTAACCCACTATTAAAATAGCAGTTCCCACCCAGTGGCTGAATGTGTTTTCATGTTACGTTATCATTGGTTAATATCAGAGCTAAAGTGCAACCTCAGCTCTCTCCTTCCCCTTCCTCAGTCTTTATCTACTCAATCTGCTTCACACCTGTCTCCAGGTAACAGTGCTGCTCTTATCTTTTGGGCTGGGTATCTTGGATTCCCCTCTAGATCCTTCCTCTGTCCTTAGTGACTGACCATCTAGCCTAGAGGACCCTTGCTCTTTGGCATTTAGCTGGGTTCAATTAATGCAGAACCCCCACAGGAGATTGCAAGATGGGAGAAGAAAGGATGGATGGCTTTCCTTTCAAGGTCTCCTCAGCCAGGCTGTGTCCCCAGACTAAGGTCTCTGATCCTCTCAAGCTGCGCAACTCTCTAAGGTTCTGCTAATATCTTCCTTCCCTAGTCCCTTAGACCTGAAGATGGTGACCCCTTTGCAGCTTCTAGCACTGGGTTATATTGCTTGCCTTCATATTCTCCTGCACATGCACCTCTCTAAATGCCCCCTTTCTAAATAAATCTTCCTCAATTTTGTCTAACTCAGATGCGACAGCTGTTTCCACTGGGTCTCTGATTGACATACTTTCCTTTGGCATACAAATGCATTCTGGTTCTGCTATGTTTCTATTCCTGGTTGCTCTGTGAACCTCACAAAAAAGATTTACCTCCCCTTCCAAACATCACTTGGATTCAAGATATTTGCTGTTCTTAAACCTGAACTTCTCGATTTCACTCTCTTTGAACTAAACATACACCTGTTCTTTTTCTTTTCTGCCCTCTTTTCCTTTTGCCTCCTTCCCTCCCTGCCTTTCCTTCCTACTGGGTGCTGATGTGAGAGAGCACTAGCGTTAATTACTGTGCTTTAGTTAAATTCTCAGCTTCTTAGGCAACCTCACCCCTTTAAGCTTAAGTTTTCTCATCTGGCAAATGGGGACAATGATTGCATTGTCATGAAGATTAAACGAGATCTTAAGATAGTGTCTCGGCCAGGATGGGTGGTGGCTCATATGTATAATCCCAGCACTGTGGGAGGCTGAGGAGGGTGGATTGCCTGAAGCCAAGGGTTTGAGATCAGCCTGGCCAACATGGTGAAACCCCATCTCTACTAAAAATACAAAAATTAGGTGGGTGTTGTGGTAGGTGGTGGTAGGTGCTTGTTATCTCAGGTATATGGGAGGCAGAAGCAGGAGAATCACTTGATCCTGGGAGGCAAAGATTACAGCAAGCCGAGATTGCACCACTGCACTCCAGCCTGGGCAACAGAGGGAGACCCTGTCTCCAAAAAAAAAGGTGTCTGCACAGTCTGGACTGATTATTTCTGTGTGCCAAGCTACTCTCTTATCTCCAATATCATAATCTAGATTTCTAAAGGCTCTCTTTCTTGCACCTCTAGCTGGTAGATGGCATCTTCCTGTAATACTTCTCATGGTCCTGAAGTGATCTTTTGAGCCCTGATTTTTAAAGGCATCCTTAATTTCCATGGGCCCAGTACAGAGAGCAAATTCTTAACCTAATTCTTATACTTTTATTTGCTCCCCGCACCCACCACCACCACAGTTACTTGTACATAAAAAGAAAAGGAGTTTTAAATTGTCTTATTACTTTTAGTATCTCCTATGAAGCACTGGATATTCAGAATGCCATAGAGAAGGGCACGAAGAGGAAAGCTTTTCTTACAGAGGTGATGGGCATAGCAGGAGGGAGAATTTGACACCAGTTCTAATAGGCACGGGGAATGAAAAGTACAGAACGTTTTGCACGTGGAGACTATGGATGTATTTGTGGGTTTGCAGTGGATTTGATCAAGATTATAGAGGAAGTAGTTAAGACCAAAGGTTAGCTTGAAGATTTAGGAAGGTCTCTGCCTATAAATTCTCCATTACATGTCTGGTCTATTAATCATTTTAAAAAGTGTTGATTATATGATTTTTCACTTCTAAACTCCGAATTGTAGGAAAGGGATTACGAAGGAGGTGTGTGTGTGGGTGTTCAATTCACAGAGAAATAGTTGAGGATGCAGTTATATCCACAGCTGAATGAATTTTCTTAATGCTTCGTTTATTTCATATTTTTATTTTCTCAAGAGTCCCCCAAAATAGCAATTCATACATATTTGTCTTCCCATCTAATTTTGCTTTAACAATAGTTAAGAAAACACAACCAGCTTTTTTTTTATAAAAGGGCATCTACGTGTTGACATCAACATCAAAATTAGCCCTCAGTCTCCAGAACATCAGTTTTTTCAGTTCAATTCAATTAATAATTAGGTCGGCAAACTCACCTCTTAAGTTCTGGGACAACATAGTGGGTGTCCAAACACTGACCTGGCCTGGGGAAGTCAGCCAGCTAAGGTTCTTTTTCTTGCAGTTCCCTGGACAACCGTTCCCTAAACAAGGTCCCCTATTTAATTAATTACCTAAGCAAGAGATAAATATATTATCTTAGAAAAAAAAAAAAAGATTTAATGCATCACAGATGAAGCTAAAGTGCCCTTGGGCTGCTACTTCTAATCATGACCTTCTTCACTGAAGGTTGCAAATTTGGGGTGTGTCTTTATAGAACTTTTACTTCACATTTTCCTAAATCTATATACATGTCCACATTGCAAGTGAGTAGCATTATTGTGTGCTTGTTTTTTTCCTTGATTTCTTACAATCTATAGTAGTTTTTCTTGGACCCCTGCTCTTGAAGAACACCCAATACCAAACTGAAAAACCCAATGGGCTGGTTGTGTCTCATTCTCTTGGGAGTAGGGAGCTGACTTAAGTCCATTGTCTTTGCATGATGAATCATTGATAATATGTGGTTGGGGACACTTTATTTTCATTTCCATTTTATAATTTGTTGATTGTTAGGAGAAAATTAGGGGAAAATCTCTCTAAAACCATGTTCATAGAATTTGTGTGCTGGTAAGATCTTAGACAGTTATCTATTTAACACATCAAGAAATGGGTTCCACAGGGGGAATGCAGCATTTGGAAGTGCAGCGGGCCTGGGTCCTCTGTATTTAAATAAGGAGCAGCAGGAAGAGGAGGTCAGACTCTGCCCTGTACTCACCTTCAGACTGTAATAAACATTTTTTTCCATGTGCCTCCTTTCTCCTTATCCCATTCCACTCCTCCAAGCCAGTCTTTCTTAGCCACATTCTCCTTTGTAAATCCATCTCAGCTATTCAATGACTTTCTGCTTTGGATTTGTTAACAGCAAAAGCTGACTGCTAATGTTGACTGTGTTTATTCTGCAGAGGATTATACTGCATGCTTTCAGTACATTTTCTACTTTATCCTCACAGAATACTATTTGAGGTTGTCACTGTTCTTACCCTCACACAAGAAAACTGAGGCTCAGAGAGGATGGGAAACTTAGCCACCGTCTCTTAGCCACCGTCTCTTAGCCAGAAGTGTTAACACCAAAATCAAACTCTACCTTCCTCTTGACTTTGCAGCTTGCACCCTTGATTCCATTCTGTACTGCCACATGTTGTCTTTTACAACAAACAAGAGGAAATATTCAGTGAGAATGGGGAGAAGCAGGCTAGAGACCCGCAATAGGTTTTAGCAAACCACCCTGTAAACAATAGGAACTCAATGAATGTTTGACACCTAAATAAAACACTCTGAAGACTAAATGAGTTAACATGCATAAAGAAGCTAGAATAGGGTCTGGCACCTACTAAGGTCTAAGTGCATATTACGTATTATGAATGTGTATGCCTACTTGTGTCATCGTTTATGCTGTGCAAATACCACAGAAGGCAAGACATTTCTTGTCCAGAGTCGCAGGTCCTGGGAGTCAATGGTACTATTGAGACAATTTTAAAAGACTTTTCTAAAATATCACCTCCAAGCAGTTAGAGGATCTGAGTTTGCTAACAAAACCATCTGGGACGTTCTAGCAATAGAACAATCACAGCCAGGACTCATGGGAGAGAAGGTTTCAAACTCTTTCTTGTTACTGAAGTTTGGAATTTGGGACCAACTCCTTGGCTCCATTATATTTTATTTTGCCATCTTTTTTACTGATCAAACCTATCATTATTTCTTCCTTTCCAGGGACTTCTATGCCCTCTGCAGTTTGCCCCTTCCTCTGTTATTTTTTCATGTATGTGAATGTTTTTTGCCTGTATTTTAAATGCCAGCCATCATTTGCCATGTCTTCTAGGGGCAATCCGCATTTAGCCCAAGTAAGTAGGTGGCAAATCACATCATCCACCCCTACACCTTCCCCAGCTACGGTAAATCAGTTATGATGAGCACTTGACCTTTGAGGTCATGGTGTTGTATTAGGACTGACCACCACCTTGGGTCAAGTGCAAGGTAAGAAAGTGGACGTACAAGCCTAAGTGAGACAGTGAGGTGGCCTCTACTTTTGGTTTTCTAGTTCCAGTACCTATGTTTTCTATTTCTTGGATTCCACATCCTTTTTTTGGTTTTTCTCTTTGTTTGTTTTTTCACTTGAGTTGAATTGAGTGAGTTTCTGTTACATGGATCCAGAGAGGGTTTCACTGGATACTTCCTAACCAGACAATTAAACTCTTTGAGGACATAGTCGCTGTGTACCTTTCAATGTGTGTTATACTGCCTGGTACATTGTAGGTATTCAATAAATATTTCTTGTTAATTCATATTTTATGGAGTGAGAATTATCTTGATCTGCGAATTTGGATTATAGTTTTTTTGTGAGTGATAGAGGCTATATGCCAATAATAGTAATCATTCATTTGTCTGTGCAACGGCATTTATTCTAGATAAAATTGAGAGGTAAAATAAGGCCCAGTTTCTTAGTTAGGAGGTTCCCTCTCTACCAGGGGAGATAGTAATGTACAATAGATGAATTACTACTTGATTGACAAGTGTAACCCAAACAAAACGTTCTCTCCTTAGATCTGCTGTGATTGTTCCTTTTCACAAACCACAATGACTCTGAAAAACCTGGCTATAAACACCAGCACTGCCACCAGCTAAGGATCTGTGATCAGGAGTGCCATCTCACAGAGACAGGGTAAGCGTCCCTTCCCCCATTTAATTCTAATTGGAATTCCTTCCATTTTGTATTAATGTTGTTCACGTCAAACTAATCACCAACACGTCTCATTCATTCTAGAATGTTGGTCATGTCTGAAGTTCAGTAGTCTATGTTTGCATGTGCAGGATTTTTAATGAAATGCTAGTATGTCTTTCAGTCAACTTTTCCAGACTTCACAGTGAGTTGAACTGTGTTCACAGTCAAAGGATTTTTCCTTCCTTTTATTCTCCTTTATAGGGTGAACGAGGTCCCTTCTGTACCCCAGTTCAAATACTAATCTCCAATGGGGAAGGTCCAAGCCTCTATCACTGATGCAGGCTTTCACTTAATTATTATGAATGACTGGATGATGGATTCATACATATAATATATTTTTTGAGTACTAACCGTGTGGTATGCATCAGGCTGGGTCCTGGGGACAGTGGAAAATAAAGAAGACCCAGTTGGTACCTGCCATTCTGGAGCTTAGAGTCCAGTGGGGACAATGGATGTTCCACAAGCAGTTCACACAATACAATAAGACTGCAAATGTCATACACACTGTGAAGAAAAATTTCCAAGTGATATGAGTTCATGTAACTGAAGGGTCGGCGAATGCTGAGTGCCTAAAAAGTTATCATAAAGTCACCCTGGAGCTCAGCACTCTGCGGGGTGAACCAGGTGAAGAAAAGAGGGGCGAATGTTTGGGTTCAGGGAAGAACATTTCCAAAGGCTTCAGAGGAATAGTGAGAATAACTGAGGGGCACACTTGGAAGCCTTGAGAAAGGAGGAGAATGCTCATCAAATTGCCTAATTTCAGAAAACACATGCTCTTCTGTTTTAACCAAAATAACTGGCGGGTGGGTGAGAAACCTTCATGATCACAACAAGTGCCCCAGTTGTCCCCGAATTGGAAACTGTTTTACTGACATCAAGATGTTTAAAAATATGCATGGGAATTCTAACGTCATCCCTTCCTCCTTCCCTCCCCTCTTCCTCCTCCCCAGTCTTCAGAACTCTAGACAGCTCAGGGATCCCACAGCATCTTTTCAGGAGGAAAATAGAGCCACTGAGGCATTAAGTTTTCTGTTTTACCTTTACGAACTTTTGGCTTCCCTGTTTTGGGGGAGACAATAACAACTAAAAACCTGAAAGGCAAGATTTGAGAGGAAACAAGCAGATTTTGCAGTTAAGTCCAAAATCCACCGCTGAAAGCCTCTAGCTGCTCTTTCTGTTCCTTTCGGCTTTGTGCTTCGGCTTCTTAGCAGGTCATGGTCATCATCATCCTCACAGTAGCACTAGCAATTAGTACTTACTGGTCATTAGCTCACAGCCAGGCATCATGATTAGAACTGCCTGTGTATCATCTCATTTAATGCTGATATAGTTATATAAGGTGGGCCCTGTTAGGGTGATGTGAAATTCTCAATATTGAACAATTTGTTTGGTCTATAAAAATGCCCATTTCATAAGGTTGAAGCCAATGTTATTATTTCCCAGGGGCCCAGGGGGTTACAAAAATTGTCCATGTTTTTATAATGGGGAGTGGCTGAGCTGAGCTTCATGCCCAAGTGTGTATAGTACCCCAGTAGCTGTGTTCTTTTGCACGATGAATGCAAGTGAGGAAAGGAGGAAGAAAATCACACCATAAAGGTTCATCCTTCTCTCTTTCCATGTCCTAGTTTACTACTTAGCGTGTCTCATGGGTTAGAAAAGGAAAGAAAAGCCAGATGCTGAAGTCTGAAGATATTCCAACAATTCTCACTCTTTTTACTCTGCTGCCCCGCCCCTGTCCTGACCCCATTAAAAACTGATCTTCCCTCAAAAGGGAATGACTGGTGCATGCTACTGAAAAGCCCAGACGAGTGGTAACCATAGGCACAGCCAGGTCCAGGCCTTCACACAGTGCTGAGAAAAATTTGTCTCCGGACTCATCAGATATCCCTTCTACTAAGAGGTCCAAGCCATATTCCACAGCGCATCATCCCCACCAGAGAGAGCAAGAAAGAAAACCAGTTTATCAGTAGTCCTAATAGAATCCTAGCAAAGATTCCCATGGACAGGCATGCTGTATGCCCATGTGAAGAGACTCAGTCACAGAAATGATAAGGTGTGCGTCTGAGGACACACGGCCCCACCCCACTACACTGTGCGCCTGTCTGAGGTCATGGACTGCGCTGATCAGCAGCTGCGGCTCAGATCTTTATCCCTGGGATGAGAAGCGGGGGTGTAGGTCAGCTCTGCAGGGTCAGCCCCTCCTAGTCACCTAGACTCATGGTTGTGGGCAGTGACTTTTCAAAAGAAACCTGGCTGCTCTTACCAGAAGAAGGGAGATTGGGTGCCAGGCAGGGGAAGGCACAACTGCTCTCCACAATGAGACTGTAGAAAAGTTTTGGACAGAGAGGATATTTTTCTCTCCAGTCTGTTGCTGGGCCCAAATTTCAAAGAACAGAAGGCTATTAAAAGGGCAAAGGAAGGAAGTACTAATTAAAAGGTCTCTGCCAGGCTCTAGGGTCAGACAGAACAAAGAATTATCCATTAAGGAAGCTCCTAGCCTGACGTTAACTGCAAGGCCTTTGGGGCAGGACAGAGGTTCAGCTCAGGGCCCTTAGATGGCTGAAACCTCCCTGACTTCATTTTTCTCATTTGTAAAATGGACATGAAATACCTTCTTCCATGGTTTATTGGCAGTGTTGCATGCTTTAACACATGGCAAATCTTCAGGCTGGTGCTTGGCTCATAGCTTGTTCTCAGTACGTGGTAATGGCTGTCGTGAATGTTGCTAAGGCTTCTCAAATGTTTGAGTCTTGGAGATTCTTCCTCTTAGGCCAAAAGTCTCCTTGGCTCCTCTGAAATCTTTGGTTCTTTATTTTTATTTATTTATTTATTTCGAGGTAAGGTCTCATTCTAGAGTGCAATGGTATGATCATATCTCACTGCAGACGCCAACTCGTAGGCTCAAGTGGTTCTCCCAACTCAGGCTCCTGAATAGCTACGACTACAAGGTGCATACAATCAGGTCAAGCTTAATTTTTTTTTTTAATATGTACGTCTGTAGAGACGGGGTCTTGCTATGCTCCCAGGCTGGTCTCAAACTCTTGAGCTGAAGTGATCTTCCCACCTCAGCCTTCCAAAATGCTGGTTTTACAAATATGAGCCAACCATGCCCAACTCCGGTTCTTTTCTTTTCGAGACAGAGTCTCACTCTGTCACCCAGGCTGGAGTGCAGTGGCGTGGTCTCCACTCACTGCAACCTCCACCTGTTAGATTCAAGTGATTCTCCTGCCTCACGCTCCTGAGCACCTAGGACTACAGGCATATGCCACTATGTCCAGCTAATTTTTTTTTTCTATTTTTAGTAGAGATGGGGTTTCTCCACATTGACCAGGGTGGTCTTGAACTCCTGACCTGAAGTGATCCACCTGCCTTGGCCTTCTGAAGTGCTGGGATTACAGGCATGAGCCACTGTGCCCAGCCTCTGGTTCTTTTTTAATGATCCCAAGATCAAGGAATTATTCTAGTACTTATGTTTCTAGAAGTCTTTTGTCACTTTTCCAGAACTTATGCTTTGACTTTGGGGTTGTGAAACATGGGCCATGTCAGAATGGACTATTCTGGTGTTCTTTGTATCTATTAGATGTTGGAGAAATAAGAGACTTTATATTCCTTTGATCTGGAGTATTCAAATGATGCAGTGTCTTTTCCATGTTTCCCTCACATCACCTGGTTTTTCTAAGGGCTACTTTCACAGCTACATTTCCATAGCCCATGTCCAGTTGCCTCTGGCCACCTTTCTAGACTCTTCCTGCAGGATCCATTTCTCTGTCTTGCTTTCTCTTTGAATCCTGCAATGGCACTCAGACTTGCCACTCTAGACTTTCCTTGTTACCTGACTGATACAGTTGGATCAGGTGTCTTTTTGTAGCAAATGACAGACACCAGTTGAAACAGACTTAACTATTTAATTGAAAAGTCAGAACATAGCAGGATTCAGGGACTCAAGCAATATTATTAAGTCTCAGTCTCTGCTTTCCTTCCTGTTGGCTTCATTCAGGGAGACTTTTCCCATCCCCTAGCAAAACGGCTACCAGCAAAGGCAGCTTACACAGTGGGGGGTGACTGCATGATTTTTCCCGACTCATCAACCATCCTGCATGCTAGCCTTTTGTCGGTGACTTTGTAGTCTCTTCCACCACTAGCGTGTGTTTGCCATCTCACTGATGTTGGGTGTAGCCATGTGCTCTATTTTGGCCAAAGAAATGTGGTTGTAAATGACAGTGTGCCAGTTCTGATCCTAGGTGTTGAGAGGAATTGCCTGTTTCCATATGCTTTCTCTTGTGCTTCTGGAATTACCATGAGGATATCCTGCAGGTAGCCTCTTTAAAAAAAAAAAAAAAAAAGAAAGACATTTTGAGGGAAGCTGCCTAAGTTGAATGCAGACTTGCAGCTGGAAGCAGAGGCATGCCAGTTAATCTGAAGAATTGTTAGCATGATAATAAACACTTTCTTAGAAACAGGGCTGAGCTATATGAGGGCTAGTTATATAGCATTGTTGTGGCCATAGTTGAGTGTTGCATAAACTATTTCCATTTCCACCAAAAGAGTTTTATTTTCTTCCTGATGGTTTCAATCAAAATCCTAAAATCGAATTCAATGCACCAAACTTAATTATAGAACTGAAAGTGAAGAAGAGATGGCTCCCCACAGGAATTCATGGTGCTCTTACCAGAAGATGATATAAAAAATGTTGAGAAGCCAAAATGACAGGTTCTCATTACATCATCCTTGAAGGGGCTGTGGGAACCTATATCCCATATTAAGCCAGGAAGCAGCCTTTTCACATCTATACCCAGCTGTATAGGGCAGAGCTCAACCAGAGTTAAGAACCCGTCACCAACTGGCCAGCTAGGGATGCCCAATACATAGTGATTGGTGCTCCACCAAAATCAGAAAGACCTAACCCCTAACTTCTCTCCCTTTCCAGGCCAGAATGGATAAGCTGGGTTTGTTAGGCTAGCAAGCTGCTATTTAGTAACTCACTGCCCTCCTCTGCCAGGCCAGTTCAACTCAGAAACATTGTGGGCAGAATGGTTGCTGGGTCCTGATTTAAAGCAGTCTTTTCTTTGCCACCTCTGGTCTTTAGCTGTACTCTGGGGCTTTAATCTCTAGTGGGGTGGGTGCCCCACCAAGTCTGTCTTGAGAAAGAACAGACCTGAATTGAAAGCATGACATGCAATAAATAGAACCCATTTGCCTTGCTCCATAGGGTCATTAAACTTCCTAGTGAATATCATTGAAAATTAAACTGATTTTTAAAACTGCAGTGGCTCTATTTTGCTTTCTTCTCCCAAATCCCACCTTTCTACCTTGACCTTTTTCTTGCTGTTTGGCAGCTGCTCTCTTTAAGGAATGCCGCTTGGCTCCAAGATATTCATGGGACATTTCTGATGGCCTTGCTTTGGGAAAGGGCATGATTCTGCCTCTTTCTGACAGTATCATCTTCCAAAGCTGCATGGCAACTCATCCCTTCT